GGGGGGGGGGGGGGGGAACCAAGGAAACACTGCCCCACCTGATTTCCACAGCTCATGAGGATGGTAATAGAATACACTGCGACCCAGGACATTGGAGAAAGGAGATATCAGAGTAATCTATCTTAGCAGACTGATTTGGGTTTTTCCTATCCCACCAGGTTGCTTGTCTGCTGTAGTTACTCTGTCACTGGGAGCTTTATTCCCTTGAGTGTCAGGTCTTCACATTGCCACTGCTCCCTGATGTGTCCAGTCCAGGTTCTCTCTTCTTGGAGCTGCGTGTTGCCTCAGGTATGAGAGGTTTGCGGGACTTGCTTAAGCCTCTTGGTGCAGGACTCTGGTCTCTTGAGTAATAAGGGAGTATTGATGGGTGAACCCAGTGCTGTTTCTCCCTTCCATGGTGGGAACTTAGCGATGTGGCTATAAAGGATGCTCTTGGGTTGCCTCTTTGTTCATGCTCTAAAATAGCTCTTGGGTTTCTTTTGTCCCAGATGGAAGCTATACTTCCTACTATACGGACAGTGACAATCCTGTTGTAAAGACTCTGAGAGACCCTGTTTATGCAGAAGTCAAGATCCTTCAGAGAACAGATCCAGAGCTGGTTTTGGTCCTGCACCACTACTGGGTGCAGTGGCCTGTTTTGGTGGATGGGTAAGTGACCTATAAATAGCTTTGGGTCAGAGGAATGACTTGCACTTTTTTACTTCTGGCCTCTCCTTCTCAGGTGCCGTTATGCAGGGGACAACTATCAGACACAGCTGGTGCCTCTGAGTCTTGCCTAAGGACTACTGTTTCCCTCTCCTTACCAGTGTTTCACCCTCTACATGTTCACCTTTGTAGACTCCGCTTCCCAAGAAATGCTCTCTGGGCTGGTAAGTTCCTGTCCTGGTTGCCTAGCTTCCTACTGAGGATGAGTAACATGTGTGAGCAATAACTACTTCATAACTATGAGACTCTTGGCCTTCTTGGAAGAGGTGGGCAAAGACTATGGAAATCCCCTCCTGAAACAGGAGGGGAGAGGTTGATGCAAAAAACTATTCCCCGAGATGAATGTGGTAAAGTTAAGCTGCATCACTGGAGGGGTGTGAGAGAAAATGAGACTACTAAGGGTAGGTTTAACTTAAGCAAGGGCTAGCTTGCTGCCTAAGCTGTTCTGTTAAACTAGCTTGTGGCGTGTGCTCTAACCATGCTAATCAATATTCTCTAAACTAAATTTCTTGGCCAAAATTACTTGGAAATGGCTTTTGGTACTGGGGAAGCATCTGGAGCTCAATCTCATGAGCTTCTGAGCAATTAAGTCAGAAAAAGTTCACCATGCCTTGTATGGTTTACTCGGTGTTCCTGGGATCAATTAATACTCAAAACTGGTCCCAGTTGTACCTAGCAGTATAGTGCAGTGCTTAGTGGTGCTTAAGACAGCTGTGTCCCAGGTGTTGGGGAGAAGTGCTGTACTGCCAGATCTGACCATGTTTGAAGGTGTATGGTAAAGATATCAAAACTACCTGCAACAGGCAGCAGAGGGCTCCAAGGCTACAGCCTGTATGCGAAGCAAGCCAAAGAAATCTCTGTCTCTCTCCCAGGCTTTTGCTGAACAGTGATTGCACAGTGTCAAGGCTTTTTCTTCTCGCTGCTGTTTCTCACCCTCAAGCGTGTAGGCATGGAGTAGGCTAGAAGCTCAGAGGGGGCACAGCTGGGATAGCTAACCCAAATTGGCCAAAGGGATGTTCTATGCTGTATAATGTCATGCTCATCAATAAACACTGGAGGATTTTGTCAGACTGGCTGGGCATCAGTCTGTTTGTGGGAGGGGGTAAGCAATTTGTTCTTCCCTCTTTCTGCCCCCCTTCACTTATTAATCAGTCTTTATCTCTCTAGCCATGGGTTTTCTTGCCTTTGCTCTTGCTGTTCTCTCCCCACCCTGCTGAGGGAGGGTGGAGGGACTGAAGAAGTGGCTGTGTGGATGCTTAGCTGCTGACCAGGATCAGTGCACCACACCAGGATATCATCTGTCTACAGATACTGCCTGTGTGATTCCAGGCTATGTCCCATTCTTTCTAGGTGTACCTGCACTGCAGTGCCTCAGTGTGCCACCAGTCTGTGCAGGAGTCCTGCACCATCACTTGTCCTGTTAGAGCCAGTAAGTGTCCTAGCCGTCCTGCTTCCCCATCCAAAGGGGCAACGAGGGTCTAGCCTCCAAACTGGGAAGTAGGAGGACATGTAGACTACAGACTAGGTCCCTCGAGCCATGGACAGCTTGACAGCCTATTTCCTGCTCGTTTCCACTGAGGAAGGTCCTTTGCCATTATGTCAAAAATGCTGAGGTTCTCATAGGCTCTTAATTCTGTCTTGGCTCATGTGGAAGGCTTGGCATTCAGAGCTTTCTATGTGTTGAAGCTGAGCTGGACAAAATTTGACCTTCAGCACTATGTATCTTCTCACCTAAAACCTTCATATTGCTCTGTAGGGGTTAAAAGGAGTGATGAACATCCTCTTCGGGACAGTGCCTCCCATGTCTCCAGCAAAGGCCCTGTGATTTTTCTCCAGGATGAGCTAAGATGGAACATGTCCAAGGGTGGCCTCGGTAAGTGTGCCAGACCAGCGTATCCAGGCTGGGAAAGGAGGCTGGTCCCTGTGCCTCACTGAGGGAGTGTTAACTGGAGCCTCACACCCCAACAGGAGCAGCTGTGAATGCTGCAGCCCCCTGGGCTCTGGGGTTTGCTGATGTAGCAACTGGGGCAGTTCTGTGCATGGTGCTTGTGGCTGCTGTGCTGTGGAGAAGGAAGGTGCCTGTAACACATGAAATCAATGTATTGTAATAAAGCAGCTGTCAAACTTGATTGGTCTGTGGGACTTCTTCTCCCTAGCTCAGAGCAGATGGTTGAACCGGAGTGTGTCCTAGAGATCCTTTCTGTAACCCTTTGCAAGACAGTAATTATCCTGATGGCTGAGAGCCTTCCAAATGCTGTTTCTCTGAATCCATCTCATTTTCTGGCTATTACTCTGCTCTGGGATTAGTGTTAACTGTCTGCTCCTGTCAAGAGGGACCCTTGTCATGGCCTGGGCTGCTGGGAAGGTGCAGACAAACAGGAGTGATACTGAGTGGTGTCTGCATTTCTGTGAGTGGCTAAGTACTTTTGAAGGTGACCTTATATTGTCTCCTCACAAACGCTGTGTAGAAGTGCATCAAAACCAATTAAAAACAAATCCTGCAGCAGCTACTCCTTTGGGGATGCAGAGCTGGGAATTGCCCACTTGCCCCTGAGCTCACTAGGTAAGTCAGGGCTGTGCTCATGTGGCAGGACTCAGAGGTAAGGATGGTAAAACACCACACAAATGGGCCTTCCTAATGATGCTGTATGTGAATCCACCTCTCTTGCTCTGGAGGATGAGAACAGGGAAACTTCATTCCAACTGAAAAAAATCAAAGGGCCTAGGTGGTTTGAATTTTGAACTTCAGGAAAAAATTCAAATGATTTAAAAATTAAACCTTCATGTCAGAGTAGTAAGTCTTCAGAACTCTGATTAAAGACAATTTGACATCACTGTAGGCATAAGTGCCACAGATGTGCTTTTTTGAGATGAGAACTAAAACTTGCTGTTCTGAGCATCAGCAGTTCAGTGTGGCATGGTCAGTCACAGCAGCTGGACAGGATCATTCTCAGCTTCCTGAGGTGGTAGTCAAAAACAGTTCAGCAAACTCCTCCCAATGATGGATGGGAAAAGGGGCTCCACCCCCACCCCCTCTTCCTGCCCAGGCTGGGGGAGCTCTGGTGTTTGCACTCACAGAGCTCCCCTTATAGCTGATGGCGTAGTCCTTGAGCAAGTACATTTGAGGGGAAGAAAAAACTTTTTACTCCCCCCACCCCACATAGGCTGGATTACTACCCTGTCTTCTAACAGGGAGAATTTCTAGTCTTAGCCATACTGCTTAGGAGTCTTTAAAGGGGAAGAGCAGCTCTTCCCCTTATATACGTGGAAGCAAAGAACTGAACAGTATCTCACTTGAGGTAACAGATATTGTTCTATTTAACTGGCTTCTGCCAACACTGTGTGATTGGAAGGTATTAACAGGTGCTGGGAACTGATTTTTAATTTCTTACTCCAACAAGAAATTTCAGGAATCGTCTTACAGTGTTTTTAATTTTTTTAGCAGAACTGCTCTTCCCTGTTACTTCTAGGATAACCAGTGCTTTTAGTCTTGACTGCTTTTAAAATCTAATCAGAAGATAAAACTCCTCCAAGTTGTATGGTGGGAGGATGAAGTTGATCACGGGCTGGAGAAATCATTAGCTGGAGATAGGTCACAGTCTCCTCTAGGGAGTACCTCTGGTAACTAAATGGCCTTGGTACAGGCGGAGCTCTGTCTGGGAAAGCAGTGTAAACACATAATGTGCCCTATGACAAGTCTTCAGCAGCTGTCTGTAATGTTAATTAACTGGTCAATTAGAGAAGTATAGACTACACCTTACCAGTACACCAGGCAGGGTCCTCTGGCACTGCTTTTAATTGTGTGTGCTAGCCAAGATCTAACACCTTCCTGGCTGCTGTTGGAGTCTTCCCATGGCTCAGTAAGGCAGGTAAAAACATTTGCTTAGAGAGCTGTCACACCCGTGTGGAGGCTGAAGGGACTCAGAGAGGAGAGTCCCTGCCCAGCTGCTCCCTGCTGCCCTCCATTGGGTTGCTGAACTGTCCCAAAGTGGCAGGGAGCTGTGGGCCTGCAGTCTCTGGGGCTCAGGTAGGTTCCCCTGCAGAGACCATCCCTTTTGGTGCAGAGCTGCATCTTGCTGTAATGACCTGCTGCTTAGCACAGGGTGCATGCAGTGTTAAGTGGAGGTGGGTGAGCATAGAAGTGAACTTAATTCCTTTATCCATTCTATAGGAAGTCTTCTGTGCTTAAGTCTTGCCAATTTGGTCACTAGCAGGAGGGAAAGAGCACAAGCAGCAGTGGCATGTGAGTTTTCTGTGTGAAGAGCTGGCACAGGGTGAAAGCTAGCCAACACAGAGGTTTCCTCTGGTGCATTGTCCCCTTCTTCCTAGCCTGTTTTTCTTCACTGTGGCGTTATTGGCTTTTATTACTGCTTTGTTCTGCAATTTTATCTCCTGCAGAAGTGTACTTTTCCTTCTACCTTCACGGGTAGATTTTTAGCTTTTTTTTATTTAGGCCTGTACTTTCTTTAGTTGGGTGTCATTGTCTTTTCTCCTTTACTTTCTTTTGAATAACTGCATGTGGATTTTTTTGTCTTTGCTTCACTCCATACTCCATCACTCCTATACAGCTGTATAAACAGCTGAACTAAAGATGTTTTGTGTTGCTGTAGATGTTGGCTTAGACTCCTGCAGGTGGAGGAAAGCTGCTTTGTCCAGTAGTGTGCCATGGGCAGTGAATGAAGAAGCTAAGGAAAAGCAGCCCTGAGGCCAGCCAGCACCTGTCTGTTGAGGCTGTTGTGCAGTGCTGATAATGAACCCAAATTTTCAGAAAGAAACCCCAATGCTGAGCATCAGCATACTTTGTCCCCAGTGGTTTCACCCTTTCCTCTGGAAGGGTGTGTGCTGCCCTGCCATGTCTACCCACTCTAGCTTTGGAAGCAAAGCCCAGCAACAGCACTTAATCTAGGGCTGCTCTGAATGAACATCCATGCTCGGCCATATCTGATCATATCCAAAAGCTCTCCTTCTCTATCAATTTTTGAGAACAGCACCAGCCTCAAAAGAACAAACTTGCTTTCTGTGTCAGATCTAAAGAAATTCTTTAAAAGCTGGAAGCTAATAATTCCTTTCTTGACCAGCTGTGCTCACTTGAAACCTTAAAATGTATGGCAGATGCTATACTACAACCCAGGTGTTCATTAATACAATATCTGAAAGCAATTATCATAATAGTGATGCTTTAATTAAATTTCTTATGCCTGTATTACAATGCATCCTGGAGTGGACAACTATACAGTATATTACATGTTATAAATATATTTCTTTCTGAAAATACTTGAATATATTTCATATAATGCTGTAATACAAAAGAGTGCTAGTTCATTTTAGTTAAAAAAAATAAACAAAAACAACAAACCTATAATGTGAATGGAGGTGGTGGTAGGGAATACCACTTCATGATGCAATGTCTTAAAACACTTTAAATTCAGTTTGCACTGATTCACATTCCTTTCAGTCTCTGTAAAGCTGGAGGGATAACGGAGGGTGTAAGTTAATGTAGGATTTTAGTCCCCTGTATTTTTGGAGATATACAGACTATTCACAGAATAATCAAGTTATAAATCTTTCTAGCTTTGGATGAAGCTAGCAAGATATATGGTGAATAACCAAGTCCCACAGCAGCAGCTACAACTGAAACATAAAATACAGCACCTGCTTTAGGGTGCTAATATTGAGTGAGCATGATTTTATTTTTTTTTTAAATTGGATTGTTAGGGTTTTTTTTGAGATGCTAAGTAACAACAGTAACAACCCCTCTGAATACTTAGAGAACCAGGTCTGGGCTGCTGTTTTCACTCACCCCTGCAACCTACAGCTGCCCTGGGAGAGAGTGGCTGGGGAGCTTTGAATCTCAGAAGAGATCCTGCTCTGGTTTTGAGGACTCCAAGGGTTCTAGCTGGTCTGTGTGAGCAAGGAGGCACATCTGTTACTGAAAGGCTAAGCCTGTTGAAGTTGATCTATTTCTGCAAGCTTCTCAAATCTTGGTTCCCTGGCAAGTTTGGGTTGGGGAAGGATTTTTAAATAGCAGTTGCTTCATTTGCAATTATGTTGTAATTTAGGGGGTAGAATAATCTTTTAACAAGAGGCAGGGTTAAATCTTTACTCCATGTGCATTATCTGTTGTGCTAGTACCAGTAAGAGCTGGTATGCAGAGACCCACTGCAACCATGGGACCTTCAGAAGCATGTGCTGCCTGAGTCTGGAATCAGTGGGCAGATGACAACAAGGCAGTCACCAAACATGACCGTAGTGTTACACAGTTGTTAATATGGCCTAAAAGAGCAGTAGCTTTAGAAGGATGTATGTATTTGAATAACTCTTCCTTTCAGCTCTCTTCTCCCTCTTGCCTTTTCCCAGCAGAGAGCACAGGCTGAGCCATACAGCAGCATGACTAACCCACCCATGCAGCCTCAGGCATCCACCTGCACAGCCAGAGGACTTGACCTGAAACTTAAGTAGGAATTCAAGCCAGGTTTCCCCTGCAAAAGATTGATAGCACAAGAGCTGGGCTGCCTGGCAAAGATGAGGTGTTGCCTTGGATGCACCCTCCAGTCTCTTGAAAGGCTGATTCCTACAGTGCCCCTCACTCTGGTCTCTGCAGTCTCTCTGCATGATGTCAACTTCTGGGTAGGGTAGGAGTCAAGGTGCCTCTGCAGAAGGAGCAGGTCCACAGGATTAGAAGCTAGTGGTGGATTTGGGAATGGCCTCATAGGAAGTCTTGGCTTTACAGACTTGGTTTTGCTGTTGGATTCCAGTAAAATGGCAGAGCTGGTCAGATGCTGCTCTGAAGGGAGGAGCTGTGTTGGGGACAAACTGCAACTCCACCAACCCAGTGGGAGGGAGGCTGTCCTTCCAACAGCTGCTTCTGCACCAGGCAAGGAGTCCCTGGCACTCTTCTAGATGCTGCTGTGTCCCATAAAGCTTAAGTTTATTTCAGCTGGAGAAGGTCCCCAGAAAGCAATAATAATTTAAAAACCTCAGTGTTTCAGGTAATTCGGTTCCTAACCCAGAGAGGAGGAAGAATTTCCAAATCTGACTTGTCAAAATGCTAACAGCAATTTTCATCTGTGGCTTGACTTTTGTCAGTATACTTTAGATTCAGGAGCAAAGCCATACATAGCTGCACATGCTTCTGTCCACAAACCCTTCTCAGCCTTCCCCTGCCCTCTTTCCCTTCCAACACTTAAATGGGAGTTTCTCTGTTTACAACTGTAGGATGCAGGTTGCACAAAGTAAGGAAGTAACCTCAGGGTTCTTGGTTTGTGTCCACTGGTGTTCCTGAAACAGAAATACAGAATGCATGTGAGACATTAGAAAGGGTTTCTCTGCATTTAACCCATTAGCTGAGTTGGGAAGGTGGAAGATGAGGCTGAGCCTGATTCTCTTTTATATGGGCAGATTGTCTCTTTCCCCAAGACTTGGGTTGGCTTATTATTTGGGAGTCTTTTGACTGACTGCAGATAAATGAATTTGCTGCTGTACTGCTGTACTTTTTGTTAAAAGGCTGCATGATGTATCCTGTATGACTACAGATGCCTTTAAATTGTGGGTTTAAAAAAAAAAAAAAAGCGGAGGACTATTAATATGAAGGTATATGTGCTAGTCCTCAGTTGGCATAAATCAGTATAATTTAAACTTCAAAAATTTGACCTGTTCCTGTCTTTGCATGTTGAAGAGTGTCGAGATGAAGGAACAGGACTGTCTCATTTCCGTGCTGAGAAGAGGCAAAAAAAAAACCCAACCCGCAAAGAAACACATGCTGCTTTACTTATTTTACCTTGTTCCATTTAATTCAGGTTATCAGAAAGGCCATATGTTTTCATTCTTTGTATTTTGCCCCAGAATGATCATGGAGTTCCTCTCAGTTTTCCTCAGCTCTGAAGACATAATATCTGGCCTTAACAAATGGAAAAATACAATTAAAGTTGACAGCAGTCAGAACACATGGCCATGTTTTTAGCATTAATATGCCGTGCATAGGTACCCAACATTCAAGCGGCACCCAAAGCAGCTTCCCCCTCTCCAGTTTGAAATTCCAAAACAAATGCTGTCCAGATATTTGTGGCAGCCTTTAAAAAAAGAGAGCTACAAAATGCAGCACTTGGTATGGAGTCACAATGTAATGGATGGACACAAACGTTATTTTGTTGAGAACAACCACTATTTTCTGCCTAGCTAGAAGTGAGAGGGAGAGACTGGTGGGTGAATGTTACAGGGAAGTTAAAAATTCTGGCCTGAAGCATTAAGTAGGAAATTAAACATTTGGAAGAACAAAATTTAAGTTAGCTGCTGTGGACTGATTCCAGATTAATTTTTGGTTTGTTGTTTATTACATATGATTTAAATAAGTGTAATGCAACCTGTTTTGTTGTAATGGCTTAGTTAGCTCAGGCCTCCAGGACTTGTGAAAGCAAACCTTTTAGAACGCTTTTTAGAAATAGTTGCTGTTTAAGAAAGAAAAGCTGTAGTTTTGGATTATTTTTAATGCAATATTTCAAAGCTATTTACAGAAAAATAAGTAGCTAGTAGCTATTTATTTCAAATAATCATAGCTATTTACTTCAACTCTTTAATTTGAAAATTTTTTCAACTCAAATCCTGACTGGTGCCCTACAGACTCTTTATTTTGCCAGGTACTAATTGGGGGTGGGGGGTGTGTGTGTTAACCTACATGTTGTATGATTTTTTTTCTTTTGTTCAGCTCTTAATTCTTTTGCAATGGAATGGTCAAACTTCTGCCTTGATGTTATTCTTTACTCTTTGGCTGCTTCTCAACCATGAGCAGAGAGATCTCACTTGGTAGTAATTTCCCATGTGAAGAGCAGCATTCAGACCTGGGTCTGAGGCTCTAGGGCCCTTTTCAGCCTTTTGCTATACAATACTGAAGGTGGGTTTTTGCAATGTCGAAACTGCACTGTCTTTCCTAATTTACTGCACCCTAACCACAAAGTAGTCATCATACAGCATCAAGCTTCTGGTGGCTGTCAAACTGAAACTAGCATCCTTACCATGAAAGGTATGTAATTTGAGGTTAGCTCATTCCCACACAGCTGCATTAAAGCTGCAGCTCCCATAGACACACAGGTGGGTGTGTCTGCACAGGAATGCCAAGCTGGGATTGCCTAAAGCTTCCCAAATTAGATCTTGCCCTGGAAAGTGGCTGAGGATAACATCAGAAAAGCTCCTGAGCATAACCACTTTCATTGAGATGGCTGCCTCTGTCTCTCTGCCTGTGCTGGAACAACTTCTGGGCCAGTCTGCTTCCCAGCAGCAGTCACAGTAAGATAGCAGAAGACTGTATGTCTCATCTGTTTATCCCCAAAGGGAGTTAGGGAAAGTAAGGAAAAATGATATGAAGGTACTAATGTGCTCTTCCTTAACTCTGGATTTTTGGGGATTGTTTGTAACACTGTTCTAGTCAGAGACAACTTCAGACATTTTATAATGTCACATAGTGTGGCAATGTACAGGCACTAAATTGATTGGGGCTCCTGCAGAATTAGCAGTCCAGCTTTCACAGGCTGGGCTAGACCCTCTCCTTACTGTTCAAAGCAGCATCAGACTGTAATTGTTTAACAAGGGCAAGTATTTGACTGTATGATGCTCCACTCTCATTTGAGAACAGTTTTCTATCACTAAAACTAGCCAGGGTGGAAAGGCAAAATGTTCTTGTCTTGGGAGTCATTTGAGCTGGAATTAAGTTCCTTGTTCTCTGTGAAGGGATGATTCTGCAATGATTTGGGGAAGAAATCTACTTTTCCTGCCATAGGTCAGATCCAGGTCCATGTGCTGCCTAAGTTCATAACATGATGATCAAGTTATTCACCAGCCTGTTCTGGTCCTTTGCACAAAACAGACATTGTTTGCAGGAGTAAGCATACTAGCAGGAAAAAGAAAATTAAGTGAAAACCTGAAGCTGTTTAGAACAATGTATGACAAACCACTGAGTCTTGTGCCAGTATGTTTACCTTGGCAGGTCCCCCTGTCTCCTGCTGGAAGAACCAAGTTCTCTCTTTACTATGAGAATGCTTTTGTGGATGTTAAAAAAAAGACAGAAAAGAAAAACAAAACAGCTGCCATGGAGCAGATCATTCATCATACCAGAGTGGGAGCATGAAAGAGGATTTGCTTTGACCTAGTTACAAAAACAAAAAAAAAAAGACACTCTCCAATTGCCCAAATGACTCAAGTGGGATTGGGTGTCAAGAGCAACAAATCTCTGCATCCTTCAGAGCTGTATAATAATACAGGGCACTAGGCTCCAACCTGTTCCAGTTCAAGACCTTGGGAGATGTCTCTGAGCCCAAGGAAGCCCGGGTAAGCAAAAGCCAGCCAATTCCATATGCTTACATGTACAAACAGGAGCAGGAGCCAGTAAACATGTTTCATAAATTATAACAAAGACAGTGGCTTTTAAAGCTGAGAGTATCAGGCTTCAACGTTTGGTTTGCCAAGAGCTGCAGACAAGCAAGAATTTCTTGCTTTACCATGCTGGTACTCCTGTAGGAAGGGCCTGGCCTTCTGTCCAGCAGCATTTGCAGGGCTGTCATTGATCCACTAAGCCTAACTTTTTCTTTCAAGGGATCCTGAGGACAACTATTTATTCAATATGCCATAGGAACAAGGTGACCAGCTTTTCCAGGCCCCAGTTAAAAGCCCAGAGTCGGTGCATTGCTATTGCAGGGTGTGGGGTTAAAAGACCAAGAGCAAATCAGGTAGGGCTGGGGAATAAGAGCTAGGAAGCAGAAGAGGAAATGGAAGATAAGGGGCATGAGTAGAGGCAAGGGTTTTATGTAGATATATGGAAGAAGAAAATAGTGAAAGAAAAGAGAAGGCCATTCATCAGTTACAGAAAGCAGTCTGGAAAAATCAGCATACAAGATCTCTGGGGCTGCCCAGATAAAAACTGTCTATTTGGCATCTCATTGTACGGCATTTCCATTCCAGTAGTTGTTCAGTATACGTGTGAATGTAGCAAAAGCTATTTCTGTTAGGAGCTAGTGGGCTGACCCTTCACTGGAAGCACATCGATGTAGCCAGCTGAGGACCTAGCCTGCAATTCTCATGTAGGGAGCACTGGCAATGTCCTCAGTGCTGCAGAGAAAGGGACAAGTAGGAGGTTACAGAGACAGGGCTTTTCTGAAGCCCAAATAAAGCTGTGGTTCTATTCAGGTTTAGAGGGAAGGTTCCAAGAGTTTGTATTTTTTCCCCAGCTGGTTCACCATCTATTTTAGATGGAACTGTTTGATCTCTTTCTGCTTTGTGTTTCTTTCAGTTTCCCAAACAATAGGAGGAAGCTTGCCTGTTAAGTGTGCTTGGCCTCAACTAAGCTTTCCCCAGCTGGAAAAATCACTCCATGAACTGCAGAGGGTTTATTTCCAGCTGAAATTACAAGACCCCCAGTTCCTTTATGCATTTTGTAAGGTAGGTATAGGATGTCTAAGGGGAACAATGGAACATTCCTGAGTGCTTAAATAACTGCCATTTCCCTACCATCAGCCCCACTAAAACCTGAGGAGGGCTTAAGCACATTTGAGCTGTTCCGCTCAAGGTTACTGAGACCTCAGCTGAAAAAACAGGGAGGTGCACAGCTCCATGTAATGCTCCTGCTTTGGTGAGTAAGATACGCAGGCTCTTCCTGTTGCCTGATTCTGTTGCCTGATTATCTACACAGATATGCCAAATTCACCAGACCAGCAGGGAGGACTTGGCAAGTGCACAGGGAGTATCTGTGCAAGGGGTAGCTGGCAGTCACTGTCATCACCTCAGATAGCCATGCACCACACAGTATAGCTCAGTGGCCAGGCTGTATTGAGCCTGGTAGACCAGTTTGCCTGAGGGACCAGCATGGATCTCTCAATAGAAGTGAGACCTCATATTTGAACCAATTTTTCACCTAAAGCAACAAGCAGGTCCTACCCATGAACACATGCTCAGCAAACTTCATCTCCCTTTCCTCTGACAGGAAACCTTCCAGCTGATCCTGACTGTCTCATCCCATCACACATCAGATACAATATGGGTTATTGTTCCACTGTATAAAGTGGAAGCTGGATAGACGAAAGCATTAACATTGACTGTAATGCTTAGGAGGGAGCAGAAAGACAAATAATTAGGCTATAGAATGGCTCTGGCCAACTGTCAACATCCCCTTGCCCTTTTGGGGGTAAGCACCTTCTTTTAGTGACCCTAGTGTTTCCATTATTCTTACACAGGCAACATTACCCAATTAGGATCTTAGAGCACCTGGGCACTAAGGAAGAAAATGGCTGTATTGGCCAGGACCACCATATGCGATGGGGAGAAGGTTAGGAGGCGTTTTCCCTGGCCAGCAACAACCAGAGGTAAATCTTGCACCACCTCCTCCCAACACTAAGTGAAAATTTCCCACAGCTCTACTTTACCTGTACAGCTGTGGGCAGGACCTCTTCAGAGCAGCAGAGGACAGTCCTAGCTTGTTCTGGTTTCTCAGCCGTGTCTTCCTCATAAGATCTCTCATTCTCCCCCAAGCATGGCTCTCACCCTAGGGAGCAAAAAGAAACCACTACTTGAAGGACCAGAGGGTAGTTACTGGCAGACCTCATGTAGCCAACATATGATACTTTGGGGTACTCTAGGGTGGTAGGAAGAGGGGAGCTTCTTTATTTTGGACAGCTAAGAATCAGATCCCACAAATGAATTGTTAACACTCTGCAATGATGCCCAGTGGCCAGCCTGTACCTGTATAGGACACAATGAAACGGGATGGATCAACTGTCAGTAACACCATCCTTGTATTTTGTTTGGTAACATTTCTGCGTCCCTGCTGTTCCTTCTGAGAGTGAGGGCACTTCACTGGTGAGTGCTGAGTAGCTGCCTAAAGGCACGTTTTACCTTATTGTTAGGCTGTACTAAAGGAAAAGATAGGTTTGGTTTCCTACCTACTTGCATGCACTCAGGGGGGGCCTTTACAACAAAACCAACCCGAAAAAGCAGCTTGACTCCTTTCTCCTTTCTATTAGGTCAGGTGCATTGGTATCAGCCCTTTTCAAGGTGGTGACTTTTGTGGACCATGAATTAGAATAGATCAAGACTTTGTTTTCCTGTCACCATCTGCAAGCTACAGCTACTGGGCACTTACATTTGAAATGCTAATAGAGATTATCAGGAGGTCAGGGAGTCTCATGAGGCCCTCCCTAATGTTTATTCTCTCCAGGCTGAGCTCATCTGGACTCATGAACTGTAAAGGAGCCATGCATTAAAAAATTTCATGTTTTTTTGCTACATAGTTTTAAATTTCCTAAGTAATGGCTGGAAAACCTTGGGAACTAAACAAAAAAGATGATGCCCCAGGCAGGACTAGAGTAATGGGGAGAAACCATTCCTCTTTCAGTGAAGTTCTCAAACCACTGTCATTCAGGGCATTGTTCTGCCCTGTCCTGAGGTATCTTCCCACTGTGCCAGCAGCAGAGCCATTACTCTATGAGTTGCAACCACCTTGGGAGCACAACCTGGCGGCTGCCCAGCTGCACACACCAAGTCCAGGCAGAGCCTATTGTAATTCTTGGGGCTATGCTGAGTTTTCAGTTCAAAACTTCAGATGAGGTCATGGGCTCAGCTGAAAACTGCAACACGGGTTCCTGTTCTATTGAGTTAATTGCCCATACTTGAGACTGTTTACTCATGGAAATAGCAAACCTTTGTGTTTACTACTAGGATTAATGTATCCTGTGGAAGGGTTTTGGAGGCCTCGGCAGTTAGTCCCTCATTGTACTGGTGTTGTCCCAGAAAAGCAAGCACTACCAATATCAGAGAAAGCCTGAGCAGTTGCCTGTTCCTGAAGGCTAGCTAGCTGTTGTCTGCAGTGGGGGTGGGAGAACAACGGATCACATTCAGCAAGTCATAATACATGTATCTGTTACTTTCATAGTAAACTTTGGGGGTCAGTGAACCTCTTTTGTTCATGTACAATGCTGTGCACCACAGGAGCTTGATCCATGATAATGCAGGTACATGTTAAATACATTCTGCAAAGGTAGTACATACCGAGATGTTCTTGCTGATGTCCAGACCCTAAAAACAAAAGACAAATAAATACACTGATAAATAACAAGACAGCAAGACCATCTCACAGTGGGGCATTTCATGCTCAGGGTACAAAATGCAATACTAAGTGACAATACTAAGGTGTAGTGTAACAATGCATCGTGAGGATTCAGTTTAAAGAGTGTGGATCTTGATTCTGCAGTCCTGTGAAGTCATCAGGGCTGCCCATGTGCTTAAAATAATGCTCATATTCCAGAAGTTGGCTGGACAAAAGCCAGAGCACAGAGCACCTTTCAGGATTCAGCCTTGATCTGGTTTCTGAAGTCCACTGAAGTGTTTGCAACCTATTTGGAAATTTGAGGTGGAAACGTCATGAGAAGGTCTTTCCCGTGAGAGATCTACTCCTTCCTCTTTCCTGCCGAGCTGGGAATACTCTGATTAGAGCCTCTGCCCTGGCATTTCAACACTTCTGATCCCCACCGGAACCTGAAAGTGCTGAGGCAGCCACAAACAATGGGAAAGAAGGGGAGAGGAAGAGCATTTGTCCTGGCTCCCTTGGACTTCAGCAACACAATTTCCCTGAAACATGCTTTGGGGACTGGAGCTAATGACATTGATATACTGACAATCTGGTAATAAGTGTTGCCAGCTAAGATTGGCCCGTTAAAATTTTTATATGTGGTAGTGAAAGTGTGCTTGGTTTAACATTCCTAGCAGCAGAAGTGAGGATACTCATGATACAGTTCGTGTGTTTAGTTATCTGCAGTTAGTGAGGGCTGAAGCCCACGCTTCTGTCTGCAGTGCTCCTCTCCACTGCACCAGTGCTCTGCTTGTACCTTTCTTGGTATAAAGACATAGTCGTTGTCTTCATCTAAGGCTGGGAGCAGATCGGCACAGAGCACCCCGGCCCTCAGTGCCCCAGCCTCATTCAGTAGCAGACAGGGTTGACTTGTTCTCCCAGCACTCCACTCTAACCTGCCTGAACAGAACTTCTCCCTGCTTCTCACACAGGTCCCACTCAGAGTCTGGCTCCAAGCTTATCACTCACCTTTCTTACTGCAGGGTCCTTTGATGGAAAAGCCTGTCCTTCAGCCATACTACCAGCTTCTCTGAACTCATTCTCCTTGTTGTTCCTATTGTTTGACGATTTCCTGAGCCCCACCATCAGCTGGCTGTTTCCTGATTCCAGGTATCTCTCACTTCCTGCAATGACATACACGGACTCACTCACATTTCTCAGCAGTATCCTGCCAGGACAGCCTCTGGGCAGTGCTGCCAGCAAGCTGAGACTCCAGATGGGATGAGACCCCATGTGTCTTCATGCCACACTGTAGTGGAAAGGAGGTAAGTGCTCCAATAAAGTGTCTGACCACAGCAGGACTTTCTAATGGCCTCCTCATGGTCTTATTTTCCTTCCAGGCCTGCTCTGAAACTGCCAGAAAAGAGCATTTCTGAGCCTCAGTGCTAGAGATCCCAAAGCCATTTACACTCCAACTCGATCCTGCTAGGAGGTACTTTGATATTCTGGGTTTCACCAGGTATTAGAGGCAGGCTGAAGTCCAATATTTGAAATACACCGATCAACCTCACTTAGTGACTGGTTCACATCTAACATTGGATCCAGACTTTTCAGATGGCTTTATCATCAGCAGGCTGAGCCCAGTCTTTCTCAGCCTTCTGGAAAAGTTGGTCTCTGGATCCAAGCTTTGCAGCTGGGGCTTATTTCCACTTGGTCTATAGAATAAGTCATCCTCCAGGAATGTGTTCTGTGCCTGCTTGAGAGGGTAGGAGACTAACAACAGGCATAAGGCTTTCCATCTTAGATCAAATTCTACCTTGGATGGGGGGATTTGAAAGACACATGGAAGGGCTCCACTAATGGACCCATTCAGACATGCTAAGCTGCCAAAAGAGAGACCCATTTTATAACGCATTTGTCCTGATCTTTGTAGCCATAGCTGCAGAGCAAAAAGTCTGGCTTCACACATGTGAAGCAGCAACTGTTAAATTCCTAAGTGTAGACAAAGCATTTTTAAATGCATCTCTTAGATTTCCAGGTAAGGTTTTGTTCTACTGATACCTTGCTCTGTTCCTGTCTGTCTTTCCTAGGGAAAAGGAAGTTGCTGGTCAGCTTATTTCACCAACTGGTGGCAAGCAGGAGGGCAGGTTAGAGCCATTTGAACTCACCGTTGCAGCTGCTCAGCTTTTCAGTGTTCACTCCTATTTCTGGAATGATGGAAAGATCAGAAGGATTTCCAGTCTGAACCATAAGGCTGTGAGGTCTGCTTCTCCCAGAAAAAAATGCCTTTGAGTCTTGATATGAGTTGAGGAAGATGCTGGCAGCTCCACAGGAGCAGTGCTGCAGAAGATACTCCTACACCAGACAAAAAGGAAGTATGTAAACTTTCAGGCTGCAATGGTCCAAGGTAACCAAGTGGTGCAGTGGTGCAGACAAATTGCAGTCATTCCAGCCCAGGGATGCCCAGCCTTGTCCTGAGACCCATTAGAACCCAGGTAAATCATTTATATCTCTAAAAGGCTGAGCAGACTTGAGTTGGTAATATAGATTTTTCATGGGTTCTTTGGTGTTTAACTTAAATTGCCTGATACTCAGCATCTTTTGGGTTTGTTTCCCAGAAGGAATTGAATACAAGTTTCTAAACACTGAGCTGCTAATCTAAGGCATTTGTGTAAATAAACAGATCCATTATAACAGTGACTTGCATTTTAAGATAATGCTATTTGTTTTGGAACATGCACAGACAACAATATCTTGTGGCTTTATTGATGAGATGCCATAGTTCACTTGCATGTTACCAGTCAGATTCACGGTACTTCAGCTGGTGTACTTCTGCTGTAGCTGGTGTGGTGGGAAGGGGAGATTTTCTGCCTTGAACAACCATGTTGCACAAGAGTGTAGTAGAGCAGGAAGCAAGGAGAGCTTTATCTAGCTGAAGTGAAAAGGTGGGGACCAAACTGTTTACTGGTGTTGGGACCAGGACAGGCCAACACCAGTTTAGCACCTCTGGAGACCCCCAAGCGATTGACAGTTTTAATGTAACATCTCATCTAGATATGTTGCCACAGCAGCATGGCACTTTTCATTATCTATATCTTTAGGAGGTGCTTTGAAAATCTAATGAAAGATGCTGCTTTTGGCCCACAGCATCTAAGATTTCCTTGTAAAGCAAATGATGTAGAGTTCCCTTTGTTCCCTTTGTGTCCCAGGATCGAAATGTCATCAGTCTCTGTGGTGATGTCTGCATAGCTCTCAATAACAGCATTCAGGAACACTGGCTATCTACAATCCTCACAACCAGCTCTTAATACCACACTAACCCATCTCTGCTTTCAGGGTTGTGTCTTCCCTAGCTATGTCTGCATGGAGAGTGAACATGGTTTGGAAAGTTGCCTTAGGACACCCTCCAAAATGTGACATGCACAGCAACTTCCACATCTCCTGGCAAACGAGGGTAGTAGTGTTCCTCTTCTACTTTCCTCTGAAGAGGAAAATGACAGATAACTGCTCAGATGTAGAAGATGCAAGTACCGCAGAGCCGAGAGAGCACACCCAGTTTTGTAGAGCACATTGCAAGTGCTGAATGTTATATCTAGGGGTCCAATTCCCCACTGAACAGTATGGGACAAATGCAACTGAGAATGCACTGCTGAGAGATCTTGGAAAATACCAAAAAGATCAAAGTTTCAAATATTTAAATGAAAAGCATGCTGTCTTTCATTTCAGTGGAAGCTGGGGAGGGGGGGGTGTCACATAAACCAGATGATGATTTGACCCTGGGTTTGCAGCTTGGAAAAGTTACTTTGAGCGATGACTCACAGTTGTAAAGCTTCAGGAAATGTGTTAACAATTCCCAGGCTCTATGTAGGAGGCTGCATTCCTCTGAGCCTGAGATGGTACATGGAAATGACGGGCCACTCTGCTCTGCAACCTGACTCACAACTAGGCTTTGGCTCTGAGGAGGAGTCAGTCAACTACTGCAGATCCAGTCCCAGCAGGTGGGAAAACAGCACTAGGGGTGGAATGACGCTGTCCAGAGAATAAAAGACTTGCCGCAGTGTGGCTGGGAAGAAATAGCTGAGTGTGACAAACCCCTTCTGTTCCTTTGGAGAGTGATAAAATAAATAGAAAGGGAGGGGAGATAAAAAGCTGGAAACCTCATGTGATGGCCAAAGAAAAAGAACTGAGAAGCAGAGGTGAGTTAGAGCTGAACAAAATATGCAGGGGCTTAAAAAATTCTGATTAGGAGGATGCTGAAATGATTTTCAAATCTGAGTCAAATTCCCCAGCTATCTCTGGCTGATAAAAAAAAAGACAAATGGGAACACTGGGATGTTTCATGTCGGAGATTCTTCACTTGGCAGCTCAGAAGCACAGGAAGGGAAAGAGGGCAAGGAGTGGGTAGCGGTACCATTGCTTCTCTTTCCCATTGTGTCTGTTTTGTGGGAAATTCTGGGATTTTCAGAGTTTGAAGCCAGAAGGAAAAGATGTAGCTTTTAATTCAAAACACAGTTGCTAAAGGGGTCCATGGAAATGTTTTGTTTTGATAGCATTGACAGGGGGAGATGTGTTTTTGGGAAGTCTTCAACTGTAGAGAACTAAAAGCTGGCCATCGCACAAGGTGAGAGAGATGCTTGTTAACTCAACAGAAGCAAGCACATCTAGGAAACAAAACTGAAAAGAACAGAAACTTACCCCCACCCTAAGGGAAGATGAACCCACTGTGGTGGGTGAGGGCTCTCTGAAGACCAGAGCAGCCAGCCCAGGTGGGTGTGGGGTCATGTAAATTAGCATCTTCTCTCACACGGACTTGGAACTTTCCATCTGGGCCTCGAATAGATCATTGAATAGATCATACTGTGGTATCTGCTTACCTCTTTTATCTGGCTCATCTTCTGCTCTTTCTGCAAGCTGCACACTTGCTTTTGGAGACGCAAGTTGTGCTCCTGGAGCTGCCCAATCTTCTCAATCAGTTGGCAAATGTGTTCCAGGTATCCCAGACCAGATCCTAGGGCTTTGCTGTTACCTTGGTTCACCTGCAATGACAATGTATATGGAGTAACATGGAGTAACAGCAGAGCAATCCTTGCTAGCAGTTGGGAGCCCAGCACACTTCTTACAGTCAAGTGGGCCATGGTAAAGACACTCAGGCTTCCTCTTGCAAGGAGCTTTGGTTATATCCAGATCTGAGCTACACTGTTGCTTGCTCACAGCTCTTTTCTGGATTACTCAGGAAGATGCGCCATCTGAGGGACTCCTCTGACTGATCACACACTGATGCAGAGGAAAACCCTGTGACAACATGTTTCTAGTCCACCTCCCAGGCTAATTTTTGTCTTTTACTGAACATAGGACCCTTACAAACAAATATAGTTCTACTGTATGGTATAGATGGCTGCAGTTAGTATGGCTCACTTAGCCCACAGCCCTCAGTGCAAGTCACACTTACAGGTATTGAGGCTGAGCTTGGCTCCTACCCAAAGGCGCACATCTGCAGGTTGCAGTGACCAACCTGGGGGTACATCTTCTCTGCCCTTGGCAAGCTGAAACCATTACAGCACAGCTGAACTCAGACCCTCATCACTGGTGAGTCAGTGAGAGGGACATGTACCTAAACCAAGCGGCCAAAGTGAAAGAACATTTTTCTACTGGTCTTTAGCAGATCCCAGCTTAACATCTCTGCTACTAATTTCTCAGTCATTAAGAGATGCCTGGAGAAAGTCTGAAGGATCAAGCTTGCTGTCTGGCTATGGCAGGATATTCTGTACCACTGATCTCTCCACATGCAGGACCTGCAGAGTCTCACTCCTGCTCAGGCAAGGGCAGCGCCAGAGACAAGACAGCAATCCTGTGGCAAAGGAAAGGCAACAGTGCTTCCCAGCCTCCTGCTCTGCACCTCGCCGTTTCTGACCCCAGGACTTCCCTGTGCACAGCAAGTGTCCTCTCCTGTGCTGTGAGCAGACTCTGCTGAACGTGCTGAACATTAACAGACAGATGCAGAGGCTTACTTCCACCTTGGCGCTGCCTGCTGATGTGCATGGGATATCACTAAGTAAAATAAGCCTCGATCTTTACAAAAGCAGTGCTCTAAGTTTATCTTACTTCAAAAAATAAGTTCCCTCTACAAAAGCAGGAAGCTTACTCTGTCTCCTTTCCCACAACAATCTACATTTTTGGGGAAATGCCAGCCTTGGGACTCTTCCTGTCTTTTCATTATGTCAGAAAGCTCATGGTGTGTTCAAAAATAATCAACATTAGAATTTACTTCTTTTTAAACAAATGATGATACAATGTTATTTATAAACAGGTATTATTATGTCCAGATGCTTTTATGTCTGAGGTTGGGACAAAGGTCGCATGAAATCATATGAAAAACTGTGATGACTGTAAGCCAACCAGTCATTCACATTAATGATTTCTATCTTCCTCTTGGGCAGAGCCTGCAGAAGTGGTGGCAAGACAATGGTTACTCAGCCATAAAACTGAGTCCTTAGCATGTCTGTGCAGTGGGAAGGGTCACAGCTTCAGGACCCACAGGGAAAACAAAGCCTACATGGTGTCTGCTGGGAAAAGTTTGAATCAAAAGCACTATCTATAACCAACATATCTGAAAGCACCTAGGGATTTGGGGGTGTCCAGCTTCAGAAGCATGATTTTCAGAAAGTACACGAGTAACAATTTCTGAAAATCTGGCAGTTTGGAGCTGTCCTAAAAGTAGTCCTTTTTTTTTACGCTGTCCCAAAATGGATAGTCAGAAGTTCCCCGTTATCCTTGAAAATGTAGGCTTTTCTCTGTAACCTCTTTTTGAACATTTAACAACTCCCCTTTCTGTCAGTTCGTTGTTGCAGAGACTGATGGCACGTCTGTATTGCCCTAAGGAGACAGTCAGCCAAATCCAACCTGTTATAGCTGTAGAAACACAAGGGAAGACTACAAAGGACAGAGGAGCTCTTGGAAAAAGGGATAAAGTAAAACATTTGGCTGTAACCTTAGGATTGGGGAGAAAACATGAAGCATTTGACTGTGACCTCTTTCCATTAGAGACCCTCTTTTCATTCCATATTTGTCCTGTGCTTAATAGTCAGGTCCTGCTTTGTGTTCACAGCTGCTAGGTTTATAGGGCAAAAGGGGAGGAGAAGAAAAAGTGGCCTTGATTACCAGTTCTCTGTGTCTAGGTCTGAAGGCACCTGAAAGCAAAGGTGTGTTTGGGGCGGGCATGGACAAAATCTGGCTTTTAGCAAAAGTTAGAGAAAACTTCCAGCTCCTGAGAATAAATACAGGTCCCCGGAAAATGTGAGGAAAAATGTGTAGATCCGGTCTTGGGGCAAGGTGGATTTACCCCTGTAGAGGACCTAAACCAGACAGATGGCTGGACTCAATATGCTGGAGACCCCTGTTTTACGGCCATCCTTCAGAGGCTGTTCAGGGCAGGCAGTTAGGGCTATTTAATAAGAAATTAATTTGCATTTTAGTTAAGTGATCTCAGCAAATGCAAATGAGCAAAAGGCAAATCAGGCAGAGCCTCCAGTGCCTGCCCATCCCTGCAGGGTCAGCCACCTCTGTGGCCAGCATGCAAGGGCAAAAGCTTTTAAAGGGGATGCTTCAACTTGCTTGCCCTGCCATAAGGCCCATTAGCATAAGGATTGCTCAGATATGGCACATGTTCAATAGAGAAAATTTATGTAATTTAGTTGGTTGCCCCCAAAATGATTGCTCAAAGAGGGCCTCTCTAAGGACCCTTCCAGGACTTTCTTTTCCATAGACTGGAAATACCTAAACAGTCCTTGCTATCTTCTGGTCATGCCAAGTGGAGTGTAGAACCTGCTTTATCACATTCTGATCTAAATATTTTCTTCTCAGCACCTCTGAGAGAGTTTTATGCTAGCAGTGGAGGGTGAGCAGTCATAGGAAAACTGCAAACATTTTCCAGGATGGGTCTCTTCCAGTCTCTGACTTCCTAAAACATTCACCCAACAGAACTAAAATTTTTCCCATTCCCCACATGGGGATTGTCAAATAGTATTGGAACAAAAGCTACGTGCCCATTTTTGAGGTGATGAAACCTACGAAGAAGGAAAAATGTGTCACCCACTTTTTTGAAGGTGAAGATGCAGAGGATTAGACAGTTTATGAATCAGACAGTTAAAGTTGCACTAGGAAAGTAACAACATAATGTATAAATAGATGCCAGATTTTGCTTTCAGGTAGGCAGACTGAACCAGAGCTTCAGCTGGAAGAAAAGGAGTCCAAGGCTCTCAGCTGAGTTACTAAGTTACTCCCATTACAGAATTACAGTTTACTACACTGACTTTACAGCTGTGTAACTAAAAGGAAATCTTTGCCCTTGTGAGTGCTCACCTGACTAAGTTTTGGGGACAGGTTTTCTGTACATGAAGCCCTGCTCAGGTGGTAATAAACCATCACAGTTGTGCTGGCCCACAGATTTCTTAGGAAGCCTAAAAATACAGGATCAACACCTGCACTGGGAACTTTGGCTTATCTAGAGCCTTGCAGTCAATATTTTGACTGGTGTAAAATCACATTTTTCCTCTGAAGCCACTAGAGTCACAGAGCTGGGAGCTTTTCTTCAGTCAGGCTCAATGGCAAACTGTCCTGGGCTGGATCTGGCAGCAGGATCTGAGGCTGGCAGGCAAGACTAGCTTGCAGGTGAAGGTCTTCTTCATTCAGAAGGGAGCTCGCTGATCTTTCTTGCAGTGACAGGTTTCTGCACTTCTTGCAATGCTCTTCACTTTTTCTTATGGATAGTTTTGAGCTATACCATGCTCCATTCTCCCATAAATCCCTCACTGCCCATTCCCACCACATTAGCATGGCCACTACAGAGGCAGTATGGTCACTGTGCCAAGGAAGGTAATTACTAACCTCCCATCATAGGCTTGGAGCAACTGATTAGTGACGTCACGAACTGAGCGGGAAGCATTTGTCACTGGAAGCTGACAGCACCCAAAGGCTTGTGAATAACAGGAAAGAGAGGGATCGTGCTGTATACTTCTGATGGCTCCACCCTGCTGTCCAGGAGAGGCTGTGCTTACTGATAGCTTCTGGTTTCCTCTAAGCAGGCATGCACAGGCTACAGAACTGACCATCACAGGTTGCCCTATTCTTCCCCTAAACCATACTTCACTCTGCAGAGAAGTATTTTGACTGTGTGATAATTAGCACTGTGTGAATAATGTTTTTTTTCATTTAATGACGACAATGCTCCCACCCTCTCTCTTCTGCTAGGGGTATGGGCTGACTTTAAATGTAAACTTTATGGAACATGAGGAAGTGTTTGCAAAGCAAAAGCATCAAAAGCTATGTATCTTCAAACTGACCTCAAACATCTAATTTGACTTAAAAGGAAATGTTTTAGTTAGGCTTCAAAGTTCTTTCACTTGTTGTTTGACAGCTTCCACTTTCTTTCATCTTTCTAAACATAGGCGAATTTCAAAATAACGACAATTCAAAACAAAAGATCAGAAACCTTTGTTTAAGAAATGCCAGACTGAAATGATTTGATGTGTATTTTCAGCCAAAGCTATTCACCAAATGAATCCAAACAGTCAAAACATTTGGTCATTTCCAGTCTCTTTTTCAACATTTTCCTTCCTGTTCTCTTGGAAGTGGCCTCAGCAGCGAGGGAGGCTGGGAGGAAACCAAGGGACATCTTCATCCATAGACTGAATCCTTGCTTGGTTGTGGTGTGCCAGTAAGCACAGTGCCCTTGGTATTGCCACAGTCAGCTGGGCTGGGGAAACTGAACTTCTGTCCTGATACTTCAAAGTTGTATTCCCAAAACCAACAACAGAACCAGCAAATGCTCTCACCTGGCATTAAATATAAGTTAGTGTAACCACTGGTGTCTCTATCAACATGAATTTAATGCATCAGGGATTGATTCAATGGAACAATTTGGTTTGCCATGTTCTTTGCCAAGCAGGGTGTTAATACCCTGTACTGGCCTGTTATTTTGCGGACAACACTGACTGCATTTCCAGGGGGATCTGAGTCCCTGAGAGAACATTAGGCCAGACAGGAGATTGACTCCTAAGTACCATGTTGTATCTCAGACATGTTGCAGGCAAATGTGAAAACCACAGAGCCTGCAACAGAGCCTCAGCTGGAGTGAACCAAGGTGCATCAGCTGTATGGGCAGATGATCATCTGGACATCATTTCTGAGTGGGTCTCACTCTGTCCTGCCTCTGTTGTATGACGGTGAGGACAGATCAACCTTGTGCATGTCTGGGGAGGGCAGAAGGCTCTGCAGCTGCTCTGAGGCACCCAGCACAGCAGCAGCTGCGGGACCGTGCAACAGCCATGGGCATTTCTTGCTCCAGTCAGCTTGGATGCTACCTGGCATCCCAGCAGTTTGAATAGCCCTGCTCTTGAGATACAGCAGCCTGGAGGTGCTCTGTGAAGAGGGGCAAACTTCCCCAGCATCTAGGTCACAGCTGTATTTATACAGCTCGAAAAACAAACAAAGAAAAGAGCTCTGGGGCACATAGCTTTAGCACTCAGCCAGTGAGGATATTAAAAAGGAGGAGAGATAAGCCACCAAGAGCTTCATTTCCTCTTCAGCTTCTTTCTAATTTATTCTCTTGTTTATTTAAATGTTCTGCTTTGGGAAACTGAGGCTCCATTTCACCAAGGATTTAAAAGAGTTTTATGAGCAGACAGAGGTGTCAGACAAGACCAAGCTGGCTGCAAACCCTGTGGAGTGCGACAGAGAATTTAGGTAACTTTATGAAAAGTCTCCTTGTACTCAAACACTCCTGCTCCAGTACTTGGATCCTCTCCTGTCAGGTCATTGTCTGTTTGGGAACTGTACAAAGCAGACATCTGTCTTCTGCTGTGTGTGAGACAGCTCTGGGGAGGAAGAGGTTGCTCAGTTGGATTGTGTGTTGCTTGTACTGCCTCAATATGCAGTGTTAACAGAGATGAGCCATCTCTGACCTTCCTCACAGCTCGGGAGGGCTTGGCATGCTGAAGAGGAAGGCCATTGCCTGACAGTTCAGGGCCCAGGCAGAGAGAGAGGGGTCATGGTGAAGTCATATACACAGCACTTGTCACTTGGCTTCCTCCCACCCATCTCCCATTCCAATTCATCACTATTACTGCAATGAATGCCCTGAAAAGAAATCCCTGTTACGCACCGTTTGATATTTTTGATGTGTCTGTGTGACCTTCACCTAGCCTGCTCCCTCCTTTCCTTTTGCTCATGGGGCTTTTTAGTCTGCCTCTCTGTGAAGAATCAGCTCTTCAGATCTTCCCATCACTGGTTCATGGAAGTCACTGCAGTGGGCAGGCAAGGCAGCAATCTGTCTATGTGTCGGCAGCATGGGGCTTCAGGCAAAGCACTGGGGTGAGTGCTTGCAAACATCCACTATGGGAGAAGGTGCACAGAAGGGCTTTTTATTCTCCTGTCAGTCGCACAGTGTACCCAGCAAGGGGGAGAGTAGGACAAGGTGCTTTGCAGTTCAGTCAGTCTCAGAACACAGGAGTTTCCATCACAGCTGTGCTGGAAGGTTAAAATGGAATCTCCAGCCCAGCAAAGATTTGAATTTGTGTCCTAGTCCCCTGCTCACTCATTATTTGAGAGATCTGGCTCAAGAGGACAGGACAGACCTGCACGGGAATGAGCTACCCCTTAGACAAGTTATTTCCAAACTTCAGCATCCCCACAGCAGTCCAGATGTTCCCCAAAACAGGAATAACCTGACCTTGAAAAATAAACTATGTTCTGATCCCCATCCCATGTATCAGAAGACAATGACTAACTTCATAATCTTAATTTAAGAGCAAAGTCAAGTCCACCCTCTAATCAGGGCTTTTTGAAATATCAGATCTCCATTAACCATTAGTCATCCTTACCCAGACCCAATATATGTGAATTACTTCAGATTTTCACTGCTATGAAAAGAGCTCTTAAAAATCAATTGCCAAGATTTGCTGCTTACAACAGCTTCAGGGGAGATTTTCTAACTCACTCAGATACGTCCCAGTTCATGACAGAGGACAGGACTTGAAGCCTTACTGAGGTATTTGGACAGGCCTAGCAGTAAGATTCAGTTTAGGTGTTTCTTACCTCACTCAGTCTACAGCATTCATCCATGTATTCATCCAGACTGTCACTTGTGGGGTACTTCTTCAGCTGATGTTCATGGATCTGAAGGTCTTGAATGCTGCCAAAGTTCTCTGGGAAATTATCAGCAATTGTCTTTGGCTCTTCTATGGGAACTGGGGTGGGAAGAGTGCTTTCCCTGGAAAGATCCATCTCTGGGGTAGGTTCCTTTTCCAGAGATTGCCTTTCACTTTCTTCAAAATGTTCATCAGGACTTTCTTCCTGAGGGATGCTGAAGTCTTCAAGGGAAGCTGTAGGACCCTGCACAGCATCTGCCTCCTGTCCATAGTACTCAGCTTGCTTTTCACTCTCTGGATCTTGGTGGCTGACTTTTCTGTCATGCTCTTTACATGTTTTCATTATAGGATGGTCAATTTCTGGAGAAGAAGAGGTGCTAAGCACACCTGAATCACAAAATGAATCTCTGCTGTGAAGCACAAAGCTCTTCTCTGAACCTGTTGGTGTTGATGGAGAATTAGCTCCACTTGGCAATTCAACCCCTGAGTCCTCGGATTCAAATTTGGAGAATCTGTGAAGTCGGCACTTGGACTCGAAGGTGCTGAGGTCAGGCAATGTGGCTACATAGTCTGTGCTTGCTGGGGCATCTGCATATTCTGGATCTGCTGGTGCAGCTGCTGCATTCGGATTTCCCTGGCAGTCCAGTGGGAGGCTGGCACTGGGGAGATGGGGCTCTTCTGTGCAGGCTATGTCAGATGGAGCCTCAGGGATTAACCCTGGGTTTTGAATTCCTTCATTGCTCAGTATCTTCATGTGTGTTAACACAACTTTGTCTTCAGCAGGTGGGTTCTTCTTACCTACTTAAAAGAAAACAAGTAGAAGGTCACAAGAGGCTACAAAACTCAAGTGTCTAGTGCATCCCCTGAGAGATATGAAATGTAAAGCTGTCTGTAGTAACATGGTAGAGGGGGACAGACCTACTTTGTTTTTCTTGAGCTATATGAAGCTTTCTTGTAGGCTTTGCTACAACAGAAGTGGTGTGTTTCACAGCCCCTGTCCTTCAAGTGGAGTCATAAATGCACACAGAGTTCTGATTTAGTAGATAGGTAGAAAGCAACACATGTAGCCAGATAACTTAGTGATTACTTGCATACAAATGCAGAGAAGTACATATTCTTTCAGCATGACAGACATTAATTTAAGGTTAAAATATTTCTTCTGATTAAATGTATTCTGAACCAGCAAACAAAAGGGTAAAACAAAATCTGTCTTTCCACAGGCTTAAGTGAATTTTGGGTTGCAACAAGCAATTTGCAAACTGGTATTCTCTGCAGTATTCTCTGCACACATACAGGTGACCAAAAGCAAGTACTGATAGGAAAAGCAAACAAGGCACTGTAGATATTTTTCACTCCTTATATGGTTTTAGCTATGAAGTAATTTCTTTAAATAAACTCTTACCTTGTTTTTAAAGAGAAAGGAGATGGGGGCAGCTTTGTTCATGAGCATTTTACACATGGACAAAGACAACTTGTTTTCACATCACAATTATTTCACACAGTAATGTGGTAGAACAGTCTCTAGATGAAAGGTTGATCTACAGGATTCGCAATGTTTGCCCCCAGGTTTTCTTATTGTTTTTCTGAATCTAATATTTCACAGTGCAGACTTCTGGTTCACACCGAAAGCCAGTGTGAAGGCACTTCATCCACCCTTTAGCTAACTGCAAATCTCATGTCTAAATCCATCTGTTTGTGGATTTGGAACCAGGAAGTGCTACAAAACTTTAGTTTCTCTGGTGTCTTTTCCCTTATTACTGCCTGACCCAGAGCACCTCAGAGGGCTACAATGCATACACTTTTCAGTGTATCTTACTTCCTACTTAATTTCCTTTCATTCCTCTCTCCTACTTCCTTTCTTTTTGCTTGAAATCAAACCAGCAGCTGCTTCACAAACTCACTCCCAGTAATGTAATCTTCCCTAAGTAGGCCAAGAAACCTGGGACCCCCCCACCAGCGGTAGAGCAGGGAGAGCTCCGCTGTGCAGACCTACTTTCATGGTAATCCAGAAAACTCCCCTGTTTTCCAGCCTTCCCTCCTCCAGCTTGCTTTCTGCAGTGTCCACAGACAAAGGAGACTTTACTTACTAAGTCCAAACTAGCTATTACATGGATCATTTTCTACTTTATTTAAGTACCTCCTATTTGATTTTGAGATTTTCTTGGGATACCACCGAAACATGCCCTTTACTGTTCATAGGCAGCCATAGTTTTAGTATTTTACACTGGATTTTCATAAAGGGCTGTCAGTGATAAATAATCCCATTTGATGGGCTTTTTGTGGCACTTGGGTGCATAGTGCTTATAACCCCTTATAGAAGACCTTGCTTATCATATACAGAATTGCACCCACCTCCCTTGGCAGGATTCACAGGCACCTCTCCACCATAAAGAGCCACATTTGGGACAGTCAGTGCCAGCCCATCAGCAATGCAACACCAGTACACTGCTGTGGTGGGGGACAAGCGAAAGGCACTGCCCACAGAAATGCCACAGGAAAGCTCACCATGAGCTGACTCTGCTGGGCTGGGTAACAACCCTTCCACTCCTGGGATGAACATGATGAACCCTAAACCGAGGACAAGGAATAGGGAGCTTGGTTTGCAGCTTCACGCACAGCAAAACGCCACCTGTAAGAGGGAGCTTGGTGCCAGGTCTTGGAAGGAGGTGCAACTGAATTGTTACTGATTTGGAGTGAAGAGGATCTACCTGCTCAGCTGCAAACACCTCTTCGCAGTGAGAGGCAGAGAGCTGTATCTGCATGAGAAATAAAAGCCTAACAGGCTCTTCTGATGGCATCATCACCCCACATAGCACAACAAAACCACCAAGAATCAGGAGAGCAGTTGTGTTGCTGCACTTTCATTTTAAGAATAAATCATACAGCTATCAATCTTGCCAGAAATTACTATATGCAATAGTAGTTCCTTCCCACAGACTCTGAATGCCTTCAGTTATTAATCATGACATGCTTTCCTTTGACTGGAGATTCTCTCACTGTCTTTAGTCTGCCCCTTTTTTTCTTGCTTAACCGGTTTCACCCTGGCCTACACAAATATTTCTTTGTCTGAAATCAGGAAGCAGCATATTAAAATGAAGTCTTGCTACTTACAGAAGGAGATGTCAGAAACTTTAATTTTTATCTTTTATGACTACAGAAGCTACAATATCTACCAGAAAGTTTGGCTGGGGTAGAAAAAAAATAAATGAGATGAAATCTCTGACCCTCTGTGTGAGTGTCCGCTTGATGCCAATAACTCCAATGCTGAGAAAGTTCTGCACTCTGGACAACATAATCCTCCTTCCTGTGGTCACTAGCAACATAGCATGGTTTCACAACAATTTCTTGTTTATCTGTTGTAGGCTCCAAACCATCAACACTGGCAGGTCCTGGTACCCACAATGTTTAAGCATTTCTGATTTATCCTCCCAACCCCTTGCAATGATGCAAAATGTTACCATCCACCTACCACAAGTTTAGAATAGATTCAAAGGATGGCAGGATTTTGCAACACATAGGCACCTCACCCTCATTCATTCAATGATACTTTCACATAGTCAATGAGGTCATATGCGCTGCAGCAGAGAGATCTCCCGTGATTAAGGCAATGATTTGAAACTCAAGTTTTTCTTGCTGTACAGTCTCTTCTTCCTCTCTGTTAACTGGGTTATGAAATCTAAACCATGGGGCTTCCAACAAGTAGATTGTTTCTGCTACAGATCTTGAAAGAGGCATTACTAAAACACTCAGCTCTTTCAAGCATATTGCCAACAAACAGAATGGTGCAATTAAAGCTCATCTGTGCAATTACCAAAAAAAAAAAAAAAAAAAAAAAAAAAAAAAAAAAAAAAAAAAAAAAAAGTGAGACAGACCCTCAGCTGCTACAAATTAGCTTGTTACCAGGGCCCTAACAGAATTGTGTTAGCTAATTCTGGTTGTAGGACTTGGCCTGTAAGTGCTTTGTACACCACCAGGAGCTCAAAGCAAAGCAGGGCAGATGGACTGCTGCCTGGTGCTGGAGGGAGTGTGCTGTAGGGGTAGTTACAATGCTGTGTGGAGGCTTCTGAAAGGAGGTGTGAAGAACTTTAGAGAGCTGAGCAGTGGCATTGAAGTTGGTAAGACATTATTTACTTGTAATGGAGGCTGGCCAGGTTTGACACTGCTGCTCCTGGGAAATCAGCCAAGATTTTTTTGTTGTTTTTTTTTTGTTTCCTTTCCCCCCCGACTGGTTTTCCACACCCCTTCTGGGGTGGGGGTAAGGTACTGGAAGATGCTGCTTTCAGGCAGCTGGCTGGGACACTCATATGGCAGTAGGGGTGAGAATGGAGTTGTGTGTGCACGCTTAGGAATCAGTATAGCTTCCTGCAGCATCTTTGGCAAGGTGTGCCCAGACCAAACATTGTCTCAGGTTAACTTGTGCTACTTGCCTAGTAGCCCTCTTGAAGGCTCTGTAATCATGCTAGAGATTAACAGGGTTCCCTGGGTTGTAATATAAGCCTGTAATTGATGGTGACTGATTATGTGTAATCTTGGGCAAGTTGCTGGACTTCTTGTACCTGTACAGTTGAAGAATAAGACTGCTTCCCATCTCACAGGGAGGTGATAACAGTGAACTAGTTAATATCTGAAGGTAATTAGTAGGGAGTGAAAGGAATTGATGTGTCCCAGCTAAGTCTATATAGAACTTTGTTTTGCTTCATTTCCAAATTGCTTTCTAGGATACTTCTCTATTGGCAAAGGCTAGCAGAGAGGAATCCTTCAAAGGTGAATACCCTCCCACCAGCTCCTGTGCCAAGACTTTCCTTTCCTTGGAGTTTTAAGCCCAAGTGTATTTTTCCTGTTGCACAATAACTGCTGCCAGGACACAGCCTAGTGCATTAATACAGAGATTTCTGACCTGAGGAAGGAGGGTTGATATCTAAATGTGAAATTGCTTTCAAGCAGCTTCTTTATCCCAAGTAAGTTGTATGCAAGAGATGCACTCAAACAACTGCCCAGGCAAAACTCCTTGGCATTCCCAGCCCAATTCCTGCAAAAGCTCCCACCTTTCTAAGAAAACCAAGCCAAAGTCTGTACTCAAATCCCCTTGCTCCAAAGCACTGAAATCCAGGTCCAGTTTCTTCTTTTCTGCATCTAAGCTTGTTGGTTTAAAGCTGTGTTTCACTGGAAATTCCTTCAGTGCAAGCCCTGTTAAGCTCTGCTGCGTCCCTGGGAGGGGTCCTTGGCCTCTGATGCACTAACTGACATATCATAGCACGTGGTCTTCTGACACATATGACTAATGGAAGTACTGGTGGTGGGAAGAGGCCAGGCTGGCAGTGGGATGAGTGCTGCCAGTGGCAGTACAGAGCTATACTGATGCCCTGTGCTGCTCTCTTCCCTTCTGGTCTGTGCCTGCCTGTCTTCTCAAAATGTTCATCCTGATTTGTAGGCTGCTTGGCATGAAGAGAATCTCTGTTAAACATGTGTATAGTGACTGGCACAACTGAAGCCAAAGCTTTGCTTGTCTCTATCTGCCATTGGGTTACAAAGGATGGCAGCATTAGAGCCATGGCAGCCCTCTGCTTGTCCCCAGAGCTGCTTCAAGGCTCACGTGCACAGTGAACCCATCCACAGTGGGTGGTGCTGCAGGGCATGCAGGGTCACAGTCCCAGGGAGAGGCACAAGGGGAGCAGTCCAGAGATGCTCAGAGTGCCTATTCCTCTCCCCACTCCTGTCTACCACAAGACATGCAATACCCTCTAGGCTTAAGTCCATAAGGCCAGTACTTTCCAACTGCAGTGTGCCACAGGAACCG